GACGTAAGTTGCTAAGCCTTTTAAAATTTTGCACATGGAGGATATGAAACGAAATAATTTTTTTAGGTTTTATATATATATACAGTTGAATAACCAAAAAATCATAAATTACTATATCAATAACATAGAAATCTACTATAATTTATCAAGCTTAGTAACTAAGCTCTATTTCAGTGTAAAAACTATGAAATTTTGAGCAAACTAGACATGGCCTACCTCCTTGAAATTTTGGTTCGAAAGAAAGAAATGGCATCTAAACTTGTTAAAATAGCTGAGAAAGCCACTAGAGAACATTCAGAGCTTCTGATTGGTTATACATGTCATATACAGAAGTAAGTGTATATAAGAGAGCGTTTCCAAAAATGGAAAGAGGTGGGCAGGGTGCCACTGTGTTTGAATTATTACATGAGCAATATCTTAGCAAATTGAAAAGATAAGAAGCTCTTATTTTATATTCTAGCTTGTCAATATCGGTAATTTGAGATCCTAATTCGTACAAAACTATAGACTTAGTATTTTGACATCACAAACATAATTTGAACCAGTGCTGCATTCAACATACCACATGACACACAAAAATCAATGTTTATCTGTGTTTTTTTTAATATCTCTTTTAAATTGAGAAACATAGTAATATATAGTACTAAAATATGAATTATAATCTACAGTTTGATACCAAACTTATTGCCATAAATTTATGAAATAGTAGTTCAGTAAAATTTTGAATGCGAGTCAACAAATGAGATGACGTGGCCTTTCACCCATGACCCATCTGGAAAGGGTTAAAATCAAATTTTACCTAACTTTAAAGCTGCTGTTGTATTTTTGAATTGACTATTCAGTTGAATAGATTCCTCACTTTACATCAGTTTGTCAACTATTGCTGTCAGACCTTTTTCACTCAGCGAAACATTAGCAAAGGCAATGAAGGATTATAATCTTATGGTTTCTTTACTGTACTTTAGGCTCAATTTGACAAGCCATTACTTACCCCAAAAGAAGAAGAATCTGACATTCTTGGAAGGAAGCAAGAAGACAGTCTGTATGCTCGTATGAAAATGTTTGTACATTTACGACAAGACTTGGAAAGGGTATGTGTTTGATTTTTATTTTATATTTGTTACATGTTTTCTGTTGTTAGTGCCTCGTTCGTTGTTATGGATCATGATGATTCTTGAATTATAATATATTAACTTTTTAATATATAGATTGTTTGCATGTTTCTGAGTTGGCATAAACTTCCTTATATTTTTCTTTATCTTTAGAGTAGGATAGTGTACAAATTTATTTGAACTTTTCTTCATGATGCAATATAGAGTAAAATGTATCAGAAACTTATCAAATTTCACATGCAAAATCTCTATAACCTCTAGATAATTATCAGTTATTTTCACTATTTTATCTCTGCATGGGTTTGGTCAATTTTACTGATCTCATAACCACCATAAAAAAATCGGGAATAGCTATAAATTATGTTTTTTTTTGTTCTAGACTGACTACAGATTATAACATGAAACCACAAATGTTTATTTTAAATAGCTTAAATCTCATAACATTATACATCTATATATATTTATTGTTTTTATTTTACTGACCTTTCAGCCGTGTCTGACTAGCATTACAGAAGTTGCAATGACGCTGTGCACGTGCACTTATATTACTATATCCAGTAGTATCAAACTGGCCTTTACAGAGTGCAACTGTCTTGGCTTTGCCCTAGTGGACCAGTATTTTGTAGAATGCAATCACATTTCAGTTATAGTAAATAAAGAAATGTAGAAACAATGCTCTCTTCTACTTAGGACGTTTGTACTTGCTTGTCACAATTTAATAGGCCTTGTCAACTTTTGCACATAGAGGATGTAAAACAGAATTATTTTTTTAGGTTTTATATGTGCATTTTGAAATAATAAAAATCATAATTTACTCTATCAGTACCTCAAAATTCCACTATCACTTATCAGGCTTAGTAATTAAGCTGTATTTGGGACTAAAAAAGTTGATATTTCAAGCTCCATTATCTTTTACCTCTCCACTTTTATTCTACCATGAAAAGGAAGGTTTTCCTGTGTAAACACATTGCAGAGGCAGAGGAAACCATGTGAGAGACATTCTGATCCTTTGATTGCTTATAAACATGTCACAGAGGTGGTGGGGCTGCCTTGGTTGATTCACTAAATACAATAAATTATCAAAAAATAGAAAAAAAATAGGAGGTTCTTATTTTATATCCTAGCTTGTCAATATTGGTAATTTCAGTTCCTGATTCGTAAGAAACTATAGACTTTGTATTTGAACATCACAAACATCTAATTTGAACCAAAGCTGCATTCAACATACCATGTGACATACATAAATTGATATTTAGGAATTTTGTTTTAATATTTACTTTTAAAGTAAGAAATTAACTAATGCATAATGCTAAAATTTTAATTATATTCTACAATTTGATACCAAACTTATTGACATACATTCATAAGATAGTAGCTCAATAAAATTTTGAATGTAAGTCTACAGCTATGATAAGTTTAAGATCAAATTGTAAATTATAATTCAAATTTTAGTATTATACATTTTTTAATTTCTTAATTTTAAAATAAACATTAAAAAAACACACCTAAACAATGATTTTTGTGTGTCACACGGTATTTTGAATGCAGCACTGATCAAAATTTGATGTTTGTAATGTCCAACTACAAAGTTTATAGTTTCTTACGAATTAGGAACTCAAATTACCAATATTGACAAGCTACAATATAAAATTAAGAACCTCCTATCTTTTCTGTTTGCTGAGAATATCACTCATGTACTGAATCAAACACAATGGCCCTGACCACCTCTTTCCATTTTTGGAAACACTTCCTTATATACACTTCTGTCTATGACATGTGAATAACCAATTGAAAGCTCAGAATGTCCCCCTAGTTGCTTTCTCAGCCATTTTGAAGTATTCTGACAACAACTCCTTTCAATAAAAGACTTCAAGCTGGTAAGTTGAATCTTTAGTCTGCTTGAAATTTCTTATTTTTTTAGGCCAAAATACAGCTTTGTTACTAAGCTTGATAAATTATAGTGGAATTCTTTGGTATTGATATAGTAATTTATGATCTTTTGGTTATTTCAAATGCATATATAAAACCTGAAAAAAATTATTTTGTTTCATATCCTCCACGTGCGAAGAGGGGTTTATGCCATGATATAAAAGACTGTTTAATTTAGATATTATTGATTAATTTATTCTTGTGAATGAATATTTTATTATTGTTTAGTTTTTGTTATAATAACAGTTAAAAGCAGACGATTGTAGGAAGTTTTGTTAATAATTCTTTGATGTTGAGACTATCGAACTGCACGTGCAATGCAATGATGTCGAGAATATAGAAGGTGGGCAGACGATTAAGTGATAAAGATATAAATAGTGTGAGACAAGCAAAAACAGCAGACAGATAATAGCAAAAAAAAAGTACAGAATAAGGAAAGTTTGCCATCAAGTTGATTACTGTAGAAGTGATAGGCTTAACATTTAACTCTTTCAGCACGGGCTCAGTTGTTGGGACTGTCCTCGTAACCATTTTGTGCTTGTCATAGTTTTCATGCTATAACTTTTAAATTAGTAAGCGAATGTTAATGAAATTTGGCAGATTATCAGTAAACATTACAATGCTTTCATATGCAAAATATAAATTTTTTTTATTAAGTCTTAAGTTTTGTAAAGCATTGTTTTCTCGTGTTGCCTCTCTATCATGCTAAGTAATTTTCATTTTATGCATCAGAAAATTTTGAAATTTCACATGCAAAATCAATGTCAAGATAGTTATCAAATGTTTCTTTGGAACAAACTTTATATTTTGTCTGTTATTTTTAGTAATTAATCTCTCTATGGGTTCAGGAGATTTGACCAATCTCGCAACCACCATAAAAAATTAGGAAATAAGTATAAATTATGCCTCTTTCATTCTAGAATGAACACAAAAACATAAATGTTTAGAATAAATAGCTTAAATCTCATAACAATATGCATTTCTTTTTATATTTATTATTTTATTATATTGACCTTTCAGCTGTGCCTGGCTAACAATACAGAAGTTACAATGACGTTGCTCACGTACACTCATGTTACTGTATCAAATAACATAAAACTGACCTTTGGTCTGTACAAAGTATGTTGTTCTGGCTTTGTTTTAGTAGACTATTATTTTGTAAAATACAGTGACATTTCAATTATTATACATTATATATGTATATATATTATTGCTATTTTGAAATAAGTTCTTAAACTTGTTTTTCTTAAAACATATAACAGTAACTAAAGAAGTAACGCAAACAATTATCTCTTCTAGTTACGACCTTTGTACACAGTTGCTGCCTCACGTAGGTTGCTAAGCCTTTAAAAAATTTGCAAGTGGAGGATATGAAATAAAATATTATTTTTTAGGTTTTATATACATTTGAATAACTATAAAAATCAAGCTTAGTAACTAAAATGTATTTTAGTCTAAAAAATTTATGAAATTTCGAGCAGACTAAAGATTCACCGTACCTTGTTGAAATATTGATTCAAAAGAAAGAAATGGTGTCAAGCCTGTTAAAATAGCTGAGAAAGCCACTAGAGGTGCATTCTGAGCTTCCAATTGGTTATTCATGTCATATATAGAAATAAGTGTATATAAGGGAGCATTTCCAAAAATGGAAAAAGGTGGGTGGGGGGGCCGACTGTGTTTGATTTATTACATAAGCAACATCTTAGCAAATCAAAAAGATAAGAAGTCCTTATTTTATATTCTAGTTTGTCAATATTGTTAATTTG